GGTAACCGGGGAGGGGGGGGGGGGGGGTAACCAGCATTGGCGGGGGGCCCCTGGAGCTCCCTCGAGCTGCCCCCTCTTGGAGGCGTTTCTTTCCCGGGGCCCTCGGGGGGCCTCTTCGGCTCTCTTTGGCCGCCTCGTGGGCCATCGGAGGCCCTCCTGGGCCATCGCGAGGATCGTTTGGGTGGGCGTCTTGGGCAGCCTTGGCCTGTTGGGAGTTCGAAAATACCAAATCACAAACAACAGTGAAAGACATTAGAAGGGGGGTCAATCATTTCTGGCTCTGGAGGCCTTGCGGGGGTTCTCTGGAGGTTCTCTCGGAGCCGCTCGGGAGCCTCGCGCGCCATCTTGATGTGCCCTTCTGTCAGGCTCAGGACTCTTCGGCGCGTTGGAGACCTTCGTGAGCGTCTTAGAATGCGTCTCGGGCATCTTTTGGGCGTCGGAGGGTGCAGGTGGAGCCCATCCCCCCCCCCCCCCCCCCAAAGGGGATGTTTGACATTGGGGGGTGGGGGCCAAAGGGGCGGGGGAAGAGGAACAGCCACATGTTCCACACGCCAGTTCAAAGCCCAGCAGGCGGGGGCCGGCCCCGATTACATGTGTGGCTGGCATGTGGGAGTGCGCACCTCTTTTTGATCTTTTCGTCACATCCCAAGTGGGGGTATTTTTTTTCTGAGGACACCCTGCGCTGTACCTCACCCCCTCCCTATCTCTTTCTTTCTTTTTTTTTGTCTCTCTCTCTCTCTCTCTCCCTCTCTTCTTTACTCGCTCTCCCTCTCCCTCTTGCTTCTCACTCACATTCTCATCCGCACTCTCTCGCGTCACCCGGCACGCACTCACGCACGCACCTCACACTTTCACACGCACCCACACACTCACAGATTGCGAGGGAAGTCCGAGCGGGAGCCCCTTCCCCTCTGGTCCCACACGCCGCGTTTTTGGGGAAGCACAGCGGGCCATCTTCAAATCTGTAACTATCATCTCTTTCGGGCTCTCCAGGCTTGACCATAGAGGAAGTCTCGAGCGTGAGCCTTGTCTGTGAGTGAATTGCGAGAACATCTCATGCGGGAGCCCCCTTTCTTATGTGGCACCCCCCAGCGCATCATTTTCATCAGAAGGGGATCTCCTAAAATCTGCAATTCTGGAGAAAATCTCAGTCGGGAGGTTCGTCTGTGAGTGAATTGCGAGGAATTCGCAGGTGGGGGCCTCTCCCTATGGGACCCGCATTGTGCGCTTTTACTCCAAGAGGGTCATCCTCAAAGTTGTAGCTGCCGTCACTGTTGGGCCCCCCAGGCTTGAATGTGGAGTACATCTTGGGCGGGGGCCTCGGTTGTGAGTGGACCGCGATGAGGTCCCAGGCGGGAGCCTTTCCATACAGAGCCCGCACCTCATGCTTTTAATCCCAGGGGGCCATCCTCAATTTTTCAACTGTCGTCACTGGTGCCCCCCCCCCCAGGCCTGAGTACGGAGGAAGTCTCAGGCGAGAGCATCGTCTGTGAGTGAACCGGGAGGACGTCTCGATCGGGATCGTTTCCATATGGGGTCCCCACATCCACGTTCAAATCCGAACAGGTCATTCAAAATTCGTAACACTCGTCATTTTGGGGGTCCTCAGGCTTGACTTCGGAGGACGCGGGGGCGTCTTCTGTGAGTGGATCGCGAGGGGGTCTCAGGCGGGAGCCCCCTGCGTATGGGGTCCCCACCTCCACGTTCCAATCCCAGCGGGTCCTTTGACACTTGTCACGGGCGTCTTTTTTGTGCTCCCAGTCTCGTGATCCCAACGACGGCGTCGCGTGAGAGCGAATGCAACGGTCCAGGGCAAGGCCGCAAAGCCACGTCTGAGTATGGGCCGTCCAAAGGTCACAACTGACGACGGCAAGTCGTGTCTGCGCAACGCGTGGTTTCAGTGGAGCGGCGCCCAGCTAGCTCGTACACGGTGAGGAGTAAGCCTTGCGCGTGTTGCTGAGGGTCAGCAGCGGACAATCCAAACACATGCTGGAACCCCTACCCCCCGCCCGTTTCTCTTCCCGACTCTCCTGCATCATCCTTGCCTCCCTTTTCTCCCTCCTCCCTGTTCCTCTCATTCGCCTCGCCTCCTCATCATCAGCGCGCCCCCTCCTTCCGTCTCCACCCTCCTTCCTCCTCCTCGCTTTCCTTCACCCCCCCTTGCTCTTTGGAGCGAACGCCGCTCAATTTCCAGGCTGCAAGCGACCTGGTGGCCAGAGAGTGCAGCCGAACGCCTGCTGCACCACGTCGGGGCGAAAGGGCGCCCCGCCCGACTCCGGACGGTGCGGGAGGTGGCTGCGCCTTCCTTCCCTTTGTGAGTGGCACAGGCGCCGCGGTTCCCTCTCTGGAGATTTTTGGCTCTAGCCTGCCTGGCTTTGAGCAGGGTGGGGTTGGGCATGCTTGGCTGACGGGCCGGGGGTTCGCCAATTCCACAAGCCCTAGATCCTTTTTTGGGAGCTCCCAGAGGCCCCCCGACGCTTGGGAAACAAACGCGCCCCTTTTTCCCAGCCTTCCTGTGTTGGCTTCTCGTTTTGAGTGAAGCAGTGCGGTCGCATGCCTCCTTTTTTCCCACTCCCACTCCATCACAGAGCGGCCCAACATGGCCGACGACGGCCGAATTTTGTTTCAACATGGCCCGAGAGGCCCCGAGTCTGCTTCAGGGAAGCTCCAATGATATGATGCCCGGGAGGTCCAAATTGTCCCGTTCCCTGGGGGAGATGTGAATTCTCACCACATTCGCAACTTGGTTCTCAGCAACAACACGGACCAAGCGGCTCCCAAGATCTCCCAAATATAGTTTGAGAGGCCCCCAAGACGGCCCCAGGACGGCCCAAAAGAGCCACATGACGGTCCAAGAGGCGCCCAACAGGAGTCCAAGAGTGGAGGTTCCAATTGACATTTCGAGCTCCCCGGGACCGCCAGCAGGCCCCCAAGGTTTCCAAAAGAGGCCCCGTAACAGTTCCCGAGAGGCCCCAGGATGTCAGACTCGTTCCGAAATGCGCCCGGGAAGAATGCCTTGAAACTTCCACAGGTATCCAAGAAACCTCTGGCCCAAAATTCAGGCACGGCGGCGGTATGGGCCGAAGGCCATCTATCAGCAAGTGGTCGGCACGGCGACGGACCCATCCCTTCGCAGTCATGTTGAGTGCAGGGCGCGGGACTCTCTTCCTATGCGGCGAGCCGTGGGGCAATGCGGAAAGCGGGCTACGGCCGATCACGCGTGCGTGGGCGCGCGGTTCTGGGACGCGATTTGCGTGAACGGGGTGCCGAATGATTCAGATGCCCTGCGCGAACACGCCAAGCGAAACCACAGTCGAAGCTCCTCTGACCACGATCCGTGCGAGGCACGTTCCGACATGGGCGGGGGGGCGCCACGCGAGGTTGCTAATGTGTGCCGTAGGTGGAGATCTGTCTGGGGCACGATTCGCGTGACATCAGTGCCGACGTGGTCCCGTTTCAGGGCTTGTTTGGGGCGTCTAGGGGTGTCCTTGGGCCCTCTTGACGTCATCTTGGGGTTTCGAAAGGCGGAGCGCGTTTTCATGGGAACCAAGGGCGGCCCATGGATCGTGCGCAAAAGGAGCATAGAGGGAGACACGGCACTGCAAAACAAGTGCGACGAACGTTATAGTAGGCCAGCGATGCCCCCCAAAATGTCGCATGAGGGCCCCAAGGCGTTCCAGGATGGCCTTCAGACGGCCCAGCAAGCCCCCAAGACTTTCAAAAGTAGTGTCAACAGGAACGCACGACTTATTATATTCAGACAAGGGACGATGCCGATCATGCTGGATTCTTGGTGGGAGCGCGCTAGAACCCAAGCGCGCGAGACGCGCGCGCGTGGTTCTAGTATAACCAATCGCGCAGCCATGTGCCATGCCTTCGTCGGTGAGCTAAGCCCGCCACCCATAATCGCAGACGAGAAACTCCCATCCACTCATGCGCGGAGGTCGCGCCACGACCATTGCGCGTAGCGCGACCCACACGCCCGACGCGCGCGGCATGTTACCAGTCGCGCCGTTTGCAATGCCCGGGTTGCGGGGCGAGGCCCCGCCACCCGTAATCGCACGGCGAACTGTCCGCTGGGATGCGACGCGGGCACACTTCCCTTTTCCAGAGAGGCAGCGTGGGGGTTTGAAGCGAAGGGGGAGCTGACGTTCGGGCGTCGTCGAGGCAGGCGTGGGAGGGTCGGGGCCCGAGCATCGCGAGCACGCACAGGAGCACCCCACCCTCGACAGTCTTGTGGACGGGGGGACGCGTGCGCGCTCTCCTCGCCAGCCCCTGCCCCGCTCCCAGGCCCTGGCGGAGAACTGAATTGCTTGCTCTCGGCCTCCCCCCTCTGCCTGCCCGTCCGTGCCCCTGATTGGGGAAGGCCCTCTTCCGCTGGCTCGCGCCCGCGGACGCCGCGGTGAGCGGGGGGCCCCGGCGGCGGCTCGGCCCTGGGGGTTCCGGGCGGCCCTCGTGTCGCCAGGGGGCGGCGGCCCTCGTCTTCCCTTGGGGGCCCCTGCGGTACCAGGTCGGCCCCGCGCACGTTGTCAGACAGGGGCTCCTGGTCGGGGCGGGCTTTTGGGGGACTCGACGGATGTGTCTGTTCCGCCGCCTCCTCCCCTTCTTCTTCCTCCTCCTCTGCTTCCTTCTCTCCTCTTCTGCCATTCCTACAAACAACGCGGTTCCGCAAGCAACGCACCCCGTGCCCTCCTTAGGCGCTAATCGTATCGCGAAGCACCTTCCTATTTCAGAGCAGCGGCGGCTTCGAAGACACGCGGCGCCCCCATGATAATGTCACTCGTAAGCAACATCATCTTCATCGCCATGCCGCCATGCTTCTTCCTCCCCCGTTCAGGGCTGCGGTTGGTTATTCGTTTTTCCTGCTGCCTGCTCTTTTGTCTCATCTTATCCCTTGTGTCGCTCCGCTCTTCTCATCATGCTCGCGCATTCTCATCCGTAGTCCCCTCATCCTCGTCCCTTCCTCCCCCCGGGGCCCTCCCATTCTCCCCTCCGAACAGGACTGTTCCTGCTGCGCGTGACCAGAGCGGCCATGATGGGTCGGCTGGCCTTGTCACTTCGATCGGCTACTCATTCTTGCACCGTGTTGTCTACACTGCAGGTGTATAGTCAGTATGTGGCCATGGTGTATGGCGCCGAGGGTCCTCTCGCGCGCGAGAGCGGGCTTGGCGTCCCCATTGCCCGCTGCAGACTTGAATAGTTCCTAGACCTAGGATGTGGAATGTATGAAAGACCGTCCTTGTGACGGAAAGTGGAATTCGAAGTCGCCGAGCCCTCTTGCGCGGCGCCACAATGCTGTTCAATTCATCGCGTGCGGCAGACACCTGCTGCCCCCGCGGAATCGTATAGAATTTGAGTGTTCGTGTGACCGTTGCATTGTCTGGCACTGTGGCTGGCACTGGACGTCGACGTCACCGAGGCTCCTGCCCCCCGCAGAGTGCAGTCGGACCGACGTCTCAGATCGAGGCCGGTTCGGGGAGGGTGCCCCAACGTTCTCCGTGGTCGCTGGATGTTCTGGGGCATCCCGGGGGAGGGTCCACTCGAGTGTATTTTCAGTTCGTCCGGCGGAGGGCCTCGTGCTCTCGAAGGGCGTGTGTTCTGCCCCAGGTCCCGCTGCATCAGTCAGGAGGGGAAAAGACACACAGACACAATTAATCGTCGATTCCCAGAAAATATAGGAAAATATTGGAAGTGGGGGGGGAAGACAGAAACCCAGAAAATATAGGAAAATATGGGGAATCTTTTTATTTATGCGTATTTATTTGTGTGTCCCAGGGCCCCTTCAATCAGGCAGAGGCGGGGCGGCGGGCCTCCTGCCAGATGCCACGGGGTGCAGGACAGACAGAGACAGAGAGAGAGAGGGAGACGCCGGAGGCGGGGAGCGAGGGGGGGGGGGGCACATGCGAACCCCACCCCCTACCCCCCCACGATCTCTGAGGGGGAGGGCGGGGTTCACTTCGTGGGGGGGGGTAGGGGCAGGGTTCGCACGTGCCCCCCTAGCGAGGGGGGGGGGGGAGCAGGAGGGACGAGGTGAGCGACGCAGAAAATGGGGTCCTCTGCGCCCACATTGGCGCGCAAGCTGCCCGCATCAGCGCAGAAGGTCGAACGTGAGTTCTCTCGCTTCCAACGAAGCGTGCCGAGCGGGCGGCCCACGTGGTCGCTGTGTCATCTCGCATAAGAACAGTTTTTTTATAGTCGCTCAGGTGAATGCGGGAGCAAAAGCAGTACAGTCGAAATCGATGAGAAGGAGGGATGAACTTCCCAAGGGTACCCTTGCCTCCTCGCCTTTCTCAAGCACTTTCGATGGTGGGCCCCGCTCGAGCCTCGTCATGGACGTCCAGAGGTCTTGCATCCTTATCACGCATATTTACTATCAGCCTTGACTATATCAATGAAACTCTGCCGTGGGGAAGCCATCAGCGCGTCAGCTGCTGTACTGATGCCAGGTCTTCGGGCCAAAAAATACACAGGAGCAACACGCTGACGGGATCCTGAAGGCGGCGCGTCATTGAAACTACCGCTCCTCCTTGAGACAGACCAGGTATCCACCGAGGTGTGGAGGGGGCAGGAGCTAGGTTGGTTCTGCTTATCCTTCGCGCCCTCTCGCCTTCCCCCTCTGCCAGCGGAAGAGTCGGAGATCTACCCTGGTGTGTGCGCGCGCGTGCGTGCGTGCGTGCGTGCGTGCGTGCGTGCGTGCGTGCGCGCGCGCGCGTGTGTGTGTGTGTGTGTGTGTGTGTGTGTGTGTGTGTGTGTGTGTGTGTGTGTGTGTGTGTGTGTGCGCGTGTGCGTGTGCGTGTGCGTGTGTGCGTGTGTGTGTGTGTGTGTGCGCGCGTGGGTCTGTGTGTGCTGTGTAATGCGTGTGTTGTGTGTGTTGTGTGTGTGTTGTGTGTTGTGTGCTGTGTGTGTTGGGTAGTGTGTGTTGTGTGTGCGTTGTGTGTGTCCCTGTCTGTGTCGGTGTCTGTGTCTGTGTTTGTGCCTGTGTCTGCGTCTGTGTCCGTGTCTGTGTGCGCACATGTCCTGCGATGGCCTCTCCCCTCAAGGGCAGTGAGGTGGGAGGAGGAGTCGGAGGGGATGGTGTAGCAAGCGGAGTCCGTGTGGGGTCGATGCCACTTCGCCAAAGGAGCCCCTCGTGGCGGAAGGGCGAGTAAGGACGAGGACGAGGATGGAGGAGGCTGCGGATGGAAGAGGAGGATGTGGGAGGAGGGATGAGAAGGAATAGGGGATGAGGAAGGGGGGGCGGAGGGCCGATGAGGGGGAGGGGAGGGGGAAGAGGAAGGAGGGCAGAGGAGGAAGGCGGGCGGTGAGGAGTGGAGACGGGAGAGAGGCGACGAGAGGGAGGATCCGCAGAGAGGTGGTCAATATATGTAGATGGTGTACAGATTCCCTCTGATGCATTTGTATGACAGAGCGCGCTCGTGGCACACTTCTCTCTAAAAGGGGGGCCCCAGCTTCAAGCTCCCCCCACCCCTCCCTTGGAAAGGGGGGGGGGCGCTTCCGAAGCTCCCCCCCCTCCCCCCTCTTCGTGGGCATTTTTTTAGCTGGGGTGGGGGCCCAGCTAAATTGGGGGGGCTTGGAAGCTACCCCCCCCCCTCCACCCCTTTTCGGGGCCTGGGGTCAGCCCATGCTCCCCTTTCGAAGGGGCTTCCGAAGCTCCCCCCCCTTCCTTCTTCTGTTTGGATTTGGTAGCTGGGGGGTCCCTGGCCAAAGGGGGGGGGCTTGGAAGCTACCCCTCCCTCCTTTTCTGGGACCGGGGTAAGCCCGAGCTCCCCTTTCCAAAGGGGGGGCTCCCGAAGCTACCCCCCCTTCCCTTCCTTCTGCTGGCTTTTCCAGATGGAGGACCCTGGCTGAAAGGGTGGTTCGAAGCTATTTTTCTTCTTCGAATTTCGGCACCCAGTTGGTTTGCGGCGTCTGTGTGGTTTTCGATGTCACTTTGGTTTTCGGCACCTCTTTGGTTTTTCGGCGCCCTTTGGGCCTTCGGCGCTTCCTCGGTTTTCGGCGCTCCTTTGGTTTTCGGCGCTCCTTTTGTGTTCGGCGCTCATGTGGTTGTCGGCGCCTCTTTGGTTTTCGACGCCCTGTTTTTCTTTTCTGCGCACCTTTCTGGGTTTTCGGCGCCTCCTGGGTATTCGGCGCCCTCTTGGGTTCCGGCGACCCTTTGGTTTTCGGCGTCTTCTTGGTTTTCGGCGCCTCTTTGGTTTTCGGCGCCCCTTTGTTTTTGGCGCCCTTTTGGTCTTGGGCGCTCTTTGGTTTTCGGCGCCTCTTTGGTTTTGGGCGCCCTTCGGCTATCTGCGTACATATTGTTTTTGGCGCCCTTTGGTTTTCGTGGCCCTTTTGGTTATCGGCACGTCTTGGGTTTTCGGCACCTTGCTGGCGTTCGGTGCATCGTTGGTTTTCGGCGCCCCTTTGGCTGTCGGCGCCTCTTCGGCTTTCGGCGCTCCTTTGGCTTTCGGCGTTCCTGCTTTTTTTAGCGCCCCTTTGATTTTCGGCGCCCTGTCTGTCTTGGGATTTTTTGTTGTTTTCGGCGCCCCTTTCGTTTTCGGCGCCTTTTTGGCTATCGGCACCACTTTGGATGTTCGGCGCCCATGTGCTTTTCGGTGCATCGTTTGTTTTCGGCGCTCATGTGGCTTTCGGCGTTTCTTTTGGTTTTCGGCGCCCCTTGCGTGTTCGGCGCCCCTTTCGTTTTCGGCGCCCTTTTGGTTCTGGAGCCCCTTTGGTGTTCGGTATTATTTTGGTTGTCGGTGTCCTCTTGGTGTTCGGCGCACCTCTGGTTTTCGGCGCACCTTTTTGTGTTCGGCGCTTTGTTGGTTTTCGGCGCTATTCTGGTCTTCGGCGCCCTGTGGTGTTCTGCGCCCCTTTGTTGTTTGGCGCTCCCTTTTTTTTCGGAGCCGTTTTGGTCTTCGGTACCCTATTGGTATTCGGCGTTCCTTCGGTTTTCGGCGCCGTTCTGATTTTCGGTGCCCTTTTGGTGTTTGGCGACCCTTTGGTTGTCGGCTCCCTAATGGTTTTCGGCTCCCCGTTGTTTCTGGCGTCCTTTTCAAGTTCTGCGGCCCTTTTCTCCAAATAGCCTTGCCCTGTAGGGGTCCTAGCTCAACATAAGCAATTGGTCTTTCGGCCCCGCCCCCCCCAGTTTTTCCAATGGCCCCCCCCTTCTTTCCAATGGCACCCCCCTCCCCCCCCTTTTGCCAATGGCACCCCCCCTTCTGACGGAACGCGCGCTGCGTCGTGGTCCGTTAGCCTTGAGAAATAACAAGGGGTGGGGGGGGGGTTGGGGGGGGTAGGCCAGGGGGGGCCCTGAGTCGAATGGCCTTATCTGAGGCCCAGCAATGACGATGTCGCTAGGGACATCCTCAAACAAGTGCGCTCTGGTCGACATCGTCTTCGGATCGCCCTCGGGAGGCGTCAAGACGGCCCAGCTTAGCCCCCCAAGAGCAGCCCAAAAAGGCCCTAAGATAGTCCGAGATGGCGTCAAGATGGCCTCCAAAATGTCCAAGACGCCGTCACAGAAAGAACCCGAGCTCTCCGTCCCCATGCCAAGAAGGTTCCCAATGGCACCCCCCAGCTATGTCCACTGGCAAGTTCGATGGATTCCTGTGCCATCAACGCCCTCACCGTCACAGTCAACGCCTTCACCGTCACCATCACCATCGTCAGCGATCATCGTCACCATTGCCCACCTCATCCTAACCATTTTCCAACCCCGCCCCCCTCCCCCGATTTACCCAAGCTTCCTCCTCTGGCTCTCCGTGCTTGCATGGCTGATCGCTTCTTTTTGCTCGCGCTTGTCTGCTTGCCATCTCATGCTTGGTTTTCCTCTCCTCACGTCCTCTCCTCCTCGTCTTCTCCTTCTCTCGTTCTTCTCCTGTCCATTTATCTCTTTGGAGTCAACGCTGGCTGATATGGTTTTTTTCCGCACCCTTTCGGCTTTCGGTGCTCGTTGGTTCTTGGCGTACCTTTGGCTTTCGGCGCCTCTTGGGTTTTCGGCGCCCCTTTGGTTTTCGGCGCCATTTTGGTTTTCGGTGCTCTTTCGGTCTTCTGCGTTTCTTTTGTTTTCGGCGCCCTTTAGTTCTCGCACCCTTTTGGTTTTCGGTGGCTCGTTGGTTTTTGGCGCCCCTTTGGTTTTCGGCGCCTCTTTGGTTTTCGGCGCCCCTTCGCCCATTTGGTTTTGTTTTCGACGCCCTGTCTGTCTTCGGAGCTGCTGTTGTTTTCGGTGCCCCCTTTGTTTTTGGCGCCTTTTTGGTTATCGGCGCCACTTTGGTTTTTCGGCGCCCTGTCGGTTTTATGTGTATCGTTGGTGTTCGGCGCCCCTTGGGTTGGCGGTGTTTCTTTGGTTTTTGGCGCCCCTTGGGTGTTCGGCGCCCCTTTGGTTTTCGACACCCTTTTGGTTCCGGAGCCTCTTTGGTTTTCGGCGTTGTGTTGGTTGTCGCTGTCTTTTTGGTTTCCCGCGCATCTTTGGTTTTCGGCGCACCCTTTTGTGTTCGGCGCTTTGTTGGTTTTCGTCCTCCTTTTTATTTTCTGCGCCCCTGTGGCTTTCTGCGCTCCTTTTGTTTTCGGCGCCCTGCTGTTTTCAGCGCGTCTTTGGTTCTCGGCGCCCTTGTGGTTTTCGGCGCCCCTTGGGTTTTCGGCGCTTCTTTTGCGTTTTCGGCGCCGTTTTGGTCTTCGGTGCCCTTTTGGTTTTCGGAGTTCCTTTCGGTTTTTGGTTCTGTTTTGGTGTTCGGTGCCCTTTTGGTGTTTGGCGACCCTTTGGTTGTCGGCGTCCTTTTCATGTTCGGCGGCCCTTTGGTTTTTGGCGCCCTTTTAGGTTTCGGTACTCTTTGATTTTCGGTGCCCTTTTGGTGTTCAGCGCTGCTTTGATTTTCGGCGCTCTTTTGGTTTTCGGTGTCTCTGTGGTTTTCGGCGCACCGCTGGTTTTCGGAGCCTTTGTTTGTTTTCGGCGCCTCTTGGGTTTCCTGCATTTGTTCTGTGTTCGGTGCCTTTCGGTTTTCGGCGCCCCTTTGCTTTTCGGCGCCCTTTTGGTTGTCGGCGCTCCTTGGGTTTTCGGCCCCCTTTTGGTTGTCGGCACGCTTTTGGTTTCGCCGCCCCTTTGGTGGTCGGCGCTCCTTTGGGTTTCGGTGCTCCATTGATTTTCGGTACATCTTTTGTTTTCCGCGAAGTTTTCGTTTTTGGTGCCCTTTCGGTTTTCGGCATTTCTTTGGTTTCCGGCGCCCTCTGGTTGTCGCACCCTTTCGGTTTTCGGGGGATCGTTGGTTTTTGGCACCCCTTTGGTTTTCGGCGCATCTGTGGTCTTTGGTGATCCTTCCTTTAGCCAAAGGAGGGGGGGCTTCCAAGCCCCCCCCCCCTTAGCCCCAAAGGGGGGGGACGGGGGGGGGGCTTCCAGCAGGGGAGGTTCAAGGGGGGGGGGAGCTAAGCCCCCCCTCTGTGGAAAGGGAGGAGGGGGTGTAGCTTTGAGAGCACGACAGGAGGGGAGGGGGGGGGGTAGCTTCCAAGGGGCGGAAAAAACAGGAGGGGGGGGGATCCGGTGGGGCAGGTCCAAGGGCGGGAGGGGGTAGCTAAAGGGGACCCCCCCCTCCTTGGGAGTGCACCGCGGGCGCGCTATGTAATTTGTGTTGAGCCGAAACCCTACGAACCCCTCCCCCCTCGAAACGGAACCCCTCGGATCGGTGGTCCCAGAGGCCTTCTGGACGCCCCTGAAGACTCCCGGGCTTCCTGGACGTCCTTGCCAGGCCTTGCCAGCGAGCCCAGATCGATCAGGAGGGCGTCCACACGGCCCCATGAGATGCCCAAGTGCCCCCCACCCCCCACACACACACACACACACACACACCACACACACACACACACACACACACACACACACACACACACACACACACACACACACACACACACACACACACACACACACACACACACACACACACACACACACACCAGACGGCCGAAGACGGCCTAAAGAACACCCCATAGAGAGTTCCGAAACGCAAACGAACCCTGATGTAAGGTAGGTGTTTGTGCAATCTTCAGATGCTCGGCTCTTCAGTCTTTCGGGCGTCCGAGACCGCCCGAGAGCCCTCCAATATCGACCCGAGATGTTCTAGAATTGTGTCAAGATGTCCCAAGGGAGCCCCAATACAGCCTGGCAGGAGCCACGATTGCCCCCCGAGAAAAACATAAAGACTTAGCCATTTGGGCTCAAGCCGTGGGGTCTGGATCCAGGCAGCTTGCCGTCAGGATCTATTGGCTCGATGGAGGGGAAAAAGGGTGTATGTGTGTGCGTGTGGCTGACACGGTTGCTGCAATCCGATTAGGGGTGTTGGCCGTTGGCTTGGCGCCCTCCTATCTCGTCGTGCCTGCCTGGATTGTTTTTCTTCACGGTATTCGGCGCTGCCTTACGCGCGCCGCGCGAAATGCAGCCCGCGACGAGCGCAAGGGCGGCCAGTTTGCTCTCTGCGCTCCTGCATCACGATGCGTTTCTTGGCCCTTGGCCACCTGTGGTGGCTCGGCCATTGCTTCTTGAGTGCTGCATGGCCGCACGCCGTCATCTTCTACCGTGCATGTCCGCCTTGGTGCTTTTCCCCCTTGCGCGCGATTGCCACGCCCAGTCCACACCTGCCATGCGGGAAGAATTTCGACTGAGCGTGTTCTGGCTGAGTGCTTGCGACGGTGACGCTACCTCGCAGGTGGAGGGAAAATTGCGCGCGTGCGCTTGAAAACTTGAAGCCCGTACTGGATTTTTTCTCTCTGGATGTGCGTGCCTGGTGTGGCGGTATATAGGACACAATATGTGAGGCGCAGCAGATGTTTTACAGCCGGTGGGGTGCCATTGTTGCGATGTTGTACCATCTATGCGTTGTAACGTGTGGGGTGCAATGCTATCGGTACTTTTCTTTTTGTGACATATGTGCTACGTGGTGGAATTTCGCAGGCCGAGCTAGATCGTGCAATCTGTGGCGTGCAAACTAATTATGTGATCTACGTCGTGCACGTTATGCAGTGCCATCTACGCGGTGCGTTCTATGATATGTGGTGCACCTTGAGGTAGTCATCTCGTGGCCTGCGGCCTATCCCGCCGCCGCGCCTGCGTTGTCGGTCGAAGTCCTGTTGAATGCCTGCAGTGATCTGTTGGGGGACCTCTCGGGAGCCTTTTTGTTCGGACGCGTTTTGGACTGCCTTAGGGCCTCTCGTGGGCCTTTCCCTTGGAACTTTTTTCCGGGTCCTCATGCCACGCGTCTGGCCGCCCATCTGTTCCACATCATATCATCAGCGACGGACGGGGCCCAGCGCGCCCCAGAGGGAAATGAGGAGGGTGAAGCGGAGACAGACGAAACGAGGAGGACGAGGGAGACAACGACAAAGGGCACCGAGGAAAGGGTCGGCGAGTGGCGACAGGTGCGGGCGAGGAGAGGGTGACGGTTGGCGGCCCGCGCGGTGCCGAGCCCACCGCGCGTCGGGAATTTAGGCGCCGAGTCCATGGCTCTTGTCGCCTGGACGGTGCGCACCCGCATGCGCCGCGCTGGCGGGGCCGCTCACACGACGTGCCCTGGCCCCGCCGCCTCGCACGCCAATCGTCTGAGAGGAGTGCTGCCTGCTCTGGGTGCCCCTCGAGGCCTTGCAGTGGGAGGCGTTGGAACCTCCCCTCCCCCCGGCTGTCCCACCCTTGCTCTCTGTCCCCTCCGCGCTCCGCCCTCCTCTCCTCCTCTCGCCCTCCTCCTCCTCCTCCTCCTCCTCCTCCTGCTCCTCCTCCTCCTCCTCTTTCTCCTTTTTTTATTTCTCCTATTCCCTGCTGCGTTCCTCCTCCCCCTCGCCGTCGTGGTCGTCGTCCTCCTCCTCATTTTTCTCCTATGTCCTCCGCCTCCTCCTCTTCTTCCTCCTCCTCCTCCTCCTCCTTCTCCTCCTCCTCCTCGTCCTCGTTTTTCTCCTCCTCCTCCTCCTCCTCCTCCTCCTCCTCCTGCCCCACCACCGCACCACACACCCCGCGAAAGCTTGGCTCACCAGTCTACCCCCCTCTGCCAGGCAGCGGCCCTGCAGACCAGGCCTCCTAGGAGCTGTGAGTTTGTGCGAGCTGCGAACTCGCATCGGCAGGGGCAGGGCAGTTGCGGGCCCTACCCCGGCTTCCACACCAAAGGGTCCCCCGTGAGCGTGTCGGGCGTCAGAGCCTGGCCAGCTTCAAGCACCGGGCCGGTCCATCCTCGATTGGGGCCTGGCCGAAGCCAGCGCGCTTCGCGGGGGGGTGCAGACGGCACGTCGTCGTCGTCGTGATAGTCGTCGCCGTCGTCGTTCTCCCTGTCCGTCCTCGTCGCCGTCCCAGTCGCCGCCGTGGCCATCGAGCGTCAGAAGCTCAACAATATTATATGCACGTATGCCCGTCTGTCTGTCTGTCTGTCTGTCTGTCTGTCTGTCTGCCTGCCTGTCTGTCTGTCTGTCTGTCTGTCTGTCTGTCTGCTTGTATGTCTGTCTTTCTGCTTGTATGTATGTATGTCTGTCTGTCTGCTTGTATGTATGTATGTCTGTATGTATGCATGTATGTATGTATGTGAGTACGCATGCTTGCTTACACGTGTGTACGTATGTAAACACATGGATGTTACAGGTGTTCTGAACTGTGCGCTTCGCGCGAAGGCCCGCACACCTTTGTGTGCATAAGCGCGGCTCCAATCTCCCTGCACGCGGGGCGCTCCGGGAACTCGCCTTTGAAAGTTCGAAGCAGCTGGCTCCTCCTCCTCTTCCTCCTCCTCGGGGCAGGGCTGGCCCGAAGCAGAGCACGCGGCCCCGCCGGCGTTTGCCGTCGGGAAGGCCAGCGGAGGGCGGCGGAGGCAAAAGATAGTTTCATAAATTCGGGCTGTCCCGCGCGAGCCACATGTCGCGCCGGTCACTGGTAGACCTCCTCATCGTTCGTTCGGCCGGCCGTCTCTTTGGCAGCCTTCTGGAGGCAGTCCCCCGATTCTATCTCCCTGCCGCCACCCGAGGCTCGTGCGCGCAAGGCCCACTTGACCCTCCCCGTCCTCCTTCCCCCGTCCTCGTCACTTTTCTTCCTGATCCGCTTGCTCCCTATTCTCCCCTATCTTCCCTGATCCGTTTTCATTGAAAAACTATTATGGGTACCCCTCCTCCTCGTCGTCGTCCTTCTCCGCCTCGTTATCCCGTACCCCCTTCTTCCCTCCTGATGTTCATCATACTCTTGCTTCCTCCTCCCTTCCCCACATTCTCGTCATCGTTTTCCTCCTGCTCCTTCACCTCCTCCGCCTCCTCCTCCTTGCCCTCGTCCTCCTCCTCCTCATTCTTCTCCTCCTCCTCCACCTCCTCCTCTCCTTGCCCTCCTTCTCCTCCACCTCCTCCGCCTCCTTATCCTCATCCTTGCCCTCCTCCTCCTCATTCCTTTCTCCCTCCCTCCTCCCCGCTCCATTCTTCTCCATTCTGCCCCCTCCCTCCTTCTGCCCCCTCCCCACTTCTCCCTCCTCCTCCTTCTCCTCCACCATTCCTTGTCCTTATAGATAACTCTTCTCTGTCACACCCTGAGGCTGGTCGAAAGGGTGGGCTGGGCGTTTCGCTTGAAACTTCTCACCATGTGTCATCCTGAAGCTTAAGAAGTGACAGCATCTTCGCATTTGGAGGGCGGGTCGTCTTCAAAATGTGATTTTCGCTTCAGCGCCGCGCATAGTCGCTGGAAACATTTGCAGAAACTCCACGGACTGAGAACGGGTGGTTTTCAGAATGTGGCTCTCGCCTAAGCGCCGCGCACATACAATTCAACAAGTTGCAAGAGCTTCACACATTGAGGGCGCGTGATTTTGAACATTCGATTTTCGCTTTAGCGCCACGCACATTCGTTCAAACCATGTATGAGAAGTTCACGGATTGAGGGCGGGGGGGTTTCAACATGTGCTTCTAAATTGAGCGACGCGCACTTCCGTTTTTGATTGCAAGAGCTTAACGGTTGAGGGCGGGTCGTCTTCCCAATGCAGTTATCGCTTTAGCGACGCGCACATGCGGTTTTATAGTTTGCAAGAGGTTCAAGGATTAAGGGTGGGTGGATTTCAAATTGTGTCTCTCGCCTAAGCGCCGCGCACATTCCTTTCAACAACCTGCAAGAGCTTCACGGATTGAGGGCGGGTAGTTTTGAAGAGTTGATTTTCGTTGTAGCGCCACGCACATTCGTTGTGAACACTTGCAGGAGGTTCACGGATTGAGGAAGGGTGGTTTTCAAAATGAGGCTCTCACCTGGGCACCGCGCACATTCGTGGTAAGACCTGCCAAAGCTTGACGTATCGAGGGCGGGTGATTTTTCAAAATGTGGCTCTCAGCTTAGCCCCGCGCGCATTCGTGTTAAGACTTGCGAGAGTTTCACGGACTGAGGGCGGGTGGTTCTCAAAATGTGTGGCTCTCGCCTCAGCGCCGCGCACATTCGTTGTGAGCACTTGCAAAATATTCCTCGTGTTGTGGAAAGACTCAGGATTGCCAGGGCGCAACAGTTACGATGATTCGCGGTGTTGAAGTCCCAGGAACGGTGTGCTGGCACGACTCAGGATCGCCAAGAAGTGACAGTCATATTAACTCGTGGCGTTGAAGTCCTGAGAGTGTTCTTGGCATGCTTCAGGATTTTCGCACGGTTGTCCCCAAACGGGGCAATTTCCAATGGAAATGACCACTTGCATGGGGCCTGTGAAGAGGGAGGTTGGAGCGAGGAATTATTACAACATCGTTGATGAGCCTTGGGTTTATATTAGTCCTCCTCCTCCTCCTCCTCCTCCTCCTCCTCCTCCTCCTCCTCCTCCTCTCTTCCCCTCCTCTCTTGCCCCCGCTTCCTTGCTCCGGCTCAGTTCCAGGCGCCGCCCAGCCAGGCATTCCGCGAACCGCGCGCCCGGCGGCGCGGAAATTGGCGGTTCCGGCGCGGCGCGGGATGATCACCGTCCAGGAGCCGTCGCGGGGCGCTTTCCCAGACCGTGCCGCTCCGAGGAGGAGGGGTCTCAGAGAAGGGGAGGGCATGGATACCGCTGGCCGAGAAGGGTCATTTGTGTCGGGGGTCCCCCCTTGTTTCTCTCGGCGGGGGGCAAGCTCGACCCTCCGCTTCCTCCGCCTGCTGGTCCTCCTCTTCCTCCTCCTCCTCCTCCTCCAACTCCTCCTCCTCCAACTCCCCCCTCCTCCCCCTCCTCCTCCTCCTCCGCCTCCTCCGCCTCCTCCTCCTCCTCCGCTTCCGCCTCCGCCTCCTCCTCCTCCTCCTCCTCCTTGTCCTCTTCCTGTTCCTCCTCGTGGTCGTTATCGTAGTCGTCGTCGTCGCCGCCTTCGTCGTTGTCGTCGTCGTCGCGGCGGGTTTTCGAAAGACCCATCTCGGTTACCCTTCCCTAGCTTTCGCCTATGTCGGTTACCCTTCCCCAGCTTTCGCCTGTGTGGGTTGGGCGGCTGGGTCCGCCTCGAACTTCTGATCCGGGCGCGCATCCCCACAGAGTAGGGGTACTGGTGCACTTCAGTTTCCCCGCCAGCGAGAACCGAGGACGACGGGGGCGACGAGGATCGGGGAGAATCGAGGGTCGAGGCCAGGATGGGGTCCAGGGGCAGAGTCGAAGCTGAGTGCACGTTGGGAAAGAGCATCTACAGCCCTCGTAAAGAACGACTTGACGGATCGACTCAGCATCCCGCCCCCCAGCCTCCGTTCAAAAGTTGGCTCTTGACGGGTCCGCTGCCGCACCTGGGGGTGTCGACGCAACAGGTGGGCGGGGATGGGCGGGGGCGCCGCTGCGAGAAGACGATCCCGTGGGCAGCCAGTCTCATTGAGACTCCGATGGGGTCCCGAAGCTCAGTATCGTTTGACCGATCCCCATCCCCATCCCCATCCCCTTTCGGACCCCCACCAAATTACCCCCCCCAGTTAGTGATACACCTCCCGAAGCCGGAAGGGAACGGCCTATATCACCATCTAGGGGGGTAAATCGGCCAGTGGGGCCCAGGCCACGCCGCTGGGGATGGGGGTCGGATTAACGATGCTCAGAAGCGTTCGCTGACACCCATGACCACTTACGTCATTTGTTTCTTCTGGGGCTTGGTAGAATGAGGCTGCTGGTGGCGTTTCTAGCTTGCTCCTGGTGAACCCCTTGGGGGGGGGCCTCCAGCGGGGCTCTCCCGGAAGGTTGCCGAGACCTCCAGGGACCTCCAGCGAACTCTTGGAACCTCTGCTGAGGGAGGAGGACAGGGAGAAGTGGAGGAGGAGGAGGAGGAGACGAGGAGGAGGAGTGGTGACGCAGTCCGCATTTCCGAGCTTCGAGGAGGAGCGGGAGGAGGAGAACGGCGGAGGAGAAGAGGGGAGAAGCGGCGGATCCGTGCGCGAGGGAGGAGGATCGCATCTGCCCAGGCGTCGCCGGGGGAGAGGGCGAGAGCCCCGGCGCACGATGCCAGAGAGGGAGGGGGGCAGCGCGGCAGGCGCGCTCCTCGACGCTCCCTAGAGGGCCACCGGTTGCGCGGGGGGAGGCCTGCCCACAAGGACGAGGGTGACGAGGAGGAGAGAGTGCGCGTGTGTGTGTGTGTGTGTGTGTGTGTGTGTGTGTGTGCGTGCGTGCGTGCGTGTGTGTGTCCTCCTCCTTTCGAGCCTTTCGATGCGGGCTCCACGGCGCTTGGCGCACCGAAGCCCTCCATCGTGCGCCTTGTGGTCGGCGCCGAGCAGGTCCTCCACGATCTTTGCGATGGGCCCCCTCCCTTCGGCTCGCGAGCTGAGGGGGCCCAACCTTCTCTGTCCAGCATCTTTGTCGTCTTTGAGCTCTTCTCGTCCAGGCTGGACAGCTCGGCCTCGCCTGCCACGCGAGGCGGCGGCTCCTCGCCGTGGGGCACGGAGCCCCACCTTCCCTCTTGTCTGGCAGCCCGCCCTTCGGCCGCTCTTGGGCTGCGCGCTGCCAGGCGTGTGTCTTTGCTTCGCTCTGTGATCTTTGCCTTCTCGTGGCGGTCGTCGTCTCTCTCTCGGGCAGTCCGCCCTTCGGCCTGGTGGCTGCGGGCTGCCCGTCGTGGTGAGGTGCGTGTTGTCGTCCAGGTCGTGGGGGCAGCCCGCCCTTCGGCCTTCTGGCTGCGGGCTGCCGTGCATGGCGGGGTACCCGTTGTTGCCGTCAAGCTCCTTCTCGGGTGCCGCTGGTGTGAATCTGCGTTGGCTTGGCCATCGGGTTGCAGAGCTTGTCCTTCCGTCTTTGCCATCCGCGCCAGAAACTTGATCGTTTGTTGGACCCCCTAGCTCACGTGGCGACCTGTTGCCTAGTAGCCGCAATGGCACACTAGGTCTTTGCGCTCTAACACCCTCCGGCTTACATGACGACGTAGTGCCTAGTAGCCGCGTTGGCACACTAGGATTTTGCTCTCTGACTCCAGGTTCTGTGGCATACCGCGTGTCGTCGGAAGCTGTATCTGTATGACGGCCGTCTCCATTGCGTGGCGCCTCGTAGTGGTAGTTGGGGCTGCAGATAATTATGGCGACGGGGTTGCTGCTGGTGGCGTTGTCGCTCCTGTCGCAGCTGGTGACGTCCCCTTCGCCCACGTAGTTGATGTAGCTGTCGTGGTTGGTGTGCGTGTCGTTGGCTGGTGCTGAGCTGGATACTCTGAAGCCCCGTCTAGCTATGATCATATCGTGGAGCTGGGCAGCTGCGGTGAAGTCGAAGTTCTCGGCGGCTGTATCATTGAGCTTGGTCTCGTGGATGGGGTCTTCCGAGTTGGTGATTGTCTTGATGGTCCCGAGCTCGTAGTGGTTAGCCGTGCCGCATGCCGCTGAGGTGTGCTGGATGATGTGGCGGCTCTCAAGGGTCGTCCAGAAGATGGAATCCTCGGCGTGTAAGGCGAGGACGGGTACCTTGGCTTCTGCGGCTGCGTGAATGGTCATGAGGATCTCTCGTGTGACGGAGTTGGCCGCGTGCAGCTCGTTGGCTATCCTTTCTGTGGCGTCGGCTGGTCCCCATGGCCTTTCTTTGGAGCGACGGCTACTGGCGTAGTTGGTGATGACCTCGGCATTGTCGTGGCTGTACCAGGTATTTCTCGGTAGCTCGGCGTATATGGCGGCGATCTCTCCTTTCTTGATCCTCTCGCGGATGGATTGGAGGTCGTGATCCGATAGCAGTGCCTCGGAGTCGTAGTTGGAGTCGATCGTGTGATAGTCCAAGCCGCTCATGCTAGAGATTGTGTCGGTGGCCATGGTCTGGTGCAGGTCGCTGTGCTGCCTGGGGCGATCCGTAATGAATACAACTCCCTGTCGTTCGGCTGGCTCAGGTACTTTAAGTGTATTAGGTTGGGGTGCAGACGGTTGGATAGGAAGCGGCGTGATGCCGATCTTGTAGGCGGGTACCTCGTTGAATGTGGCTTGTCGGCCGCTCTTGTTGTTAGCTGCCGTGGGCGTGGCGATGGCGTCGTAGTTGTCGGCGATTTGTTACTCAGTAAGAGGTTCCATCGTCATGGTATGCCATGCGAGCCATGACTTGCCGCAGCGGTGGGCCACCGCGAGGTGCTTCAGGAGCCTCGGGAAGTTGTGGAACTCCGTCTGGTCCTCCCCCTCCTCTTCTTTCTCCTTCTCCTCCTCCTCCTCCTCCTCCTCCTCCCTCTCTTCCTCATCCTCTCACTCCGGTGTGTCTGTCTGTGTCTGTGTGTTTGTGTGTTTGCGCGTCTATAGAGAGGGCGCATCTAAGGAGCGCCCACCGAAAACCCCGCCGGCATAGTGCGCATGCGTCTCCCCCACCCAGCACAGCGCTGCGTGGCACCATGGGGACTTCCACCTGGGACGATTCCCGCGATAGCGGATCTCATAATTGCATATGGTTGGGTTTCTGGAAAGGCCCGTGTCTTCTTAGAAACTCGCCTTCCTGAAATGCCGTCCCCCTCGCGCCACCCCATTGAACGCGCCGCCCAGGCGCGGTCAATGGGGGTCCTTCCGGATGCTCGGCTCAGCCATGCCATGCCGAAGAAGTGTGTGTGCGTGCGTGCGTGCGCGTGCGTGCGTGCGTGCGTGCGTGCGTGCGTGCGTGCGTGCGTGCGTGCGTGCGTGCGTGTGCGTGTGTGTGTGTGTGTGTGTGTGTGTGTGTGTGTGTGTGTGTGTGTGTGTGTGTGTGTGTGTGTGTGTGTGTGTGTGTGTGTGTGTGTGTGTGTGTGTGTGTGTGTGTGTGTGTGTGTGTGTGTGTGTGTGTGGGGGGGAGGCGGAGGTGGGACAGGAAGGCAACGTAGAGCTGGAGCGGGAAGCTGTAGGAGACTGTGTTTCCTCAACCTTCCTGACATTCTGGGTCCACGTTTTGAAGAGACAGCGCCCTGCGTCTTCTCCTCCTTTCCTCTCCTCCTCCCCCTCCCTCCTCCCATCCTCAGTCGAACAGTACCTTCTGTCCCCTGCCTCTCTTAATCGTCTCCCCTTTTCCGCTGCCGTGTATTGTTCTGGGGATCGGGGGGATATTGCCGCGTGCCCGTGTTTTACGCGTACGATACACCTCGTGCTACTATGGTAAAACAACAATTTTCTTGTGCCATCCACCCATACATCCATGTGTCGAGTTGCTAGCGGACTGTCGGCTCCCTTTCACGCGCCAGCCATGGTGCCTCCACGCTGCCGCAGGAGCGCATCGACAACCTCCCCACCTGGTTCGACTAGCCAGTCAACTCACGATCGGCTACCAGGGCCTCAGCTACCTCTCGCTGCGCGCGGCTGGCGTGTCCAACATCCAGCTTTCTTGGGCCCTGCAGCATTGCAGCGTGGCCTACCCGATGGACGCGCCACAGCTGGCACACCTGATGGGCCAGCCACGCAGACTTGGACATGATTGAAGGTTCGCCGGGCAATCTCGCCTCGGCCGCGCATTCGCCCCAACGCCAAGCGTTTCTCACGGGTGCGCCCAAGCGCGATCACGATCAGAGTGCCGCAGTGGAGCCGCATCGAGCTGGGACGGCATAGGCCGTTCGGCCCCAGGAGCAGCACCAGGCCCACCCTCAGCGCCGCTGGCCGCCCACCCCGACGCAGCAGCACCACCGCAGACGGCATGTCCAGCAGCGGGTTCCGCCTCGGCCACAGACTCCAACATTTTCAGGTCGCTCGGCGAGGAAATCGCTGCAGACGACCCCGAAGTGCGCGCAAACTCCCGCGGGGCAGCGCGGCGAGCACCGGTCCTGGGCCCACGAGGCGCGCCGTGCCCCGGCGGCTTTCGCCTCAACAACAACGACGAGCCCACGCGCCGAGCGCGGAGTTTCATCAGATCCCTGGCCACCTCTGTCCGACAACGACCTCCGCGAAACCTTCGCCGGCTTCGGGAAGGACCGGGCCGAGGGAAAGGGCAAGCATCGGACCAGTGGGCGGGAGTCTTGGCCGACGAGGCAACCCACCGGGCCCTGGCGGGGCGCGTCTCAAGTGCCACGAATTCGACTTAGATGAGCACCTCGTGCGCGACTGTCCCCGTCGGCGCCCGCGAGTGCGCGCCTTCTTCCTCTGCGCCCCAGCCTCGGCAGCACCGCCACCACCTACGCCGGCATCCTCACCGCTCGCGCGCCTGGGGCACCACGGAGCGCCTGGACCAGCCGCTCAACAACCAGCACCATATGCCCATTCGGTCTGGATGACCAGGGAAGCCCGCGGGATGCCCGAACCTGTGGCTCTGGAATCCCACAGCGGTGACCCCACGTAGAGCGCCGTTCCCAGGAACGGCGGCCAGCCGACTCCAATTTCGGCATCTACGCGGCCAACGCCAGCACCAGCATTAACAGCAGCAGCTCCCAGTGTTTCGTCCGACGGCTTCTGGCATGCCCTTGGCCAGAGCCATCGGTCAAGCTTGGCGGGTACTTCGTCGTCCTCATCGGCTTCGCCCAACCCTTATGAGACCGAACTTCGGCGGCTACGCCAGGAAATGGACGACTTTGTGGGCCGCGTACACGAGGACTCTGCTCAACCGGCGGATTGGGCAACTACGTTGCCAATCCGCACGGCATGTGGGGAACTCAGTACCGACAGCACCTGCGGCTCCAGCAGCATTAGCAGCACCACCAGTATTGATACCACAGCGCTGGGCCAGAGTGGCCAGTGCTTTTCCGTTGGGGACACAGCAATGGTGCGACTGGGTCAGCAACATAAATACCCGCGTCGCTATACCAGCTACACCATCTGCCGATGTGCAGTTACCGAACTGGGCCGACATGCGCCCCGTATGTCCATTGGGCATCCGCGCGCCGTATGTATCGAGTGCCACGTGGCCACCGCAGCCCGCAGTAGTAGCCGTGTTAGGACTGATGCCAACGTCTCCCAACGAGTTTGCTCCCTCCAAGCAGCGCGTCCCCACTGACATGAGCCAGCCATCTGTGCGAATAGCCATGTGGTGGGACGGCCGCGACACATGGATGTCCTGCGGCGTGCGATCCGAACGCTGGAGGTTTTTAGTTTTGACCAAGGAGTGATGCCCCCTGAGCTACCCTGCACTAGCCCTGCTAAGGAGGAGGGGGAGGAAGTGGAGGAGGAGGGGGAGGAGGAGGAGGAGGGGAGGAGGAGGAAGAGGAGGAGGAGGAGGAGGAGGAGGAGGAGGGGCAGGAGGAGGAGGAGGAGGAAGGAGCGGGAGGAGAGGAGGAGGATGAGGGGGAGGAGGAGGAGGAGGGGAAGATGAAGAGAGGCAAGATGAGGAGATAGAGGACATAGGAGCTTTTGTGAGGGTTAGACCCTGGCGCGTGAGAGTGCAGAGCGCGATTGGGGCTCAAAACTAAAGCTTTGAGGCCCCCCGACGCCCATGTCGGTACACCCCTCAAACGTTTCGTGGCCCCACAGAGAGCTCCACCGAGCGCTCCTTGGTTAGGATTCGCACGCGTCCCCCCACTCATTTCGGCACCCCCGTCAAACGTTTTGTGGCCCCACATGGAACCACCTGTCTTGCTGCATTTGCACTTGCAGATGGTTGCGTTTTTTCTAGTCCGGATATTTAGGTCAAGGAGACTGGCTCGAACGTCACTTGCTCTGGCGTGCGAGGGCCCCTGTGACACGTGCGTGCTCGCATGTAACCGCTTGGCTTGCGCACGTGTCCCTGCGAGGTTATGATACATGCGTGTTCGCATGCAGGCTGGCGCTGGGCATCGCACTGGTGAGCGCCAGGGTGAATTTGACTATGGGTGTTCTGTACGTACCGCATCTTCGCAGCTACAGGTATGTAGAGTCGGTACTGCACTTGCGCACTATGTAGATCGGGTTTTTGGCGACCCTCGCTCCTGCGATAAATCGCTTCGGCAGGGTTCACGGCTCTTGTCCTTCGTCGGCGGCAGAGGCTATCTCGAGTTATGATTGGACATGTTGTGCCAGAGTGGAGGTCACGTTACACCCGTCAGGCATCTTACGAACTTGCGTCCATTTTCATGGACTCCATATTCCGCTGACGAGAACCAAGAATCTGGACTGGACCCTGGGCGCTTTTTCGGTATTGATTCGTAGAGCTTTCGTGCATCTGGACCTGGATCACCGTTCAAGAAAACGCTTGGAGTCAAGTCGATATTCTTGGCGTGGAGTCTTCTCAGCCCTGGGCAGGCGTATCGGCTATTTGGGGCCACTTCGCAACGATCTTGGGCTCTGCTGCCTCGATGCGCCCACCCTGATCCCCGACACGTGCCGTGCTCAAAGCGTCCGTGCCAATACGGTGCGTGCTGGCTCCACGTGTTGGCCCACGCTGGGCTCCACGTGTTGGCCCACGCTGTGGCGAACGCATCGCGCCAGACCTGCGGCTTCAGCCTGCGTGTCGAGCGCCGTATCGATACGCCACGTGTTGCGCGCTGCGCGTCAGGACGGCCAAGATCTCTGGCCACCTCGGGCCCTCTGGCGACCCGCGAGCGCCCGCCCTGGCCAGAGCTGCCCCGTCGGGTCGCGCCCCCGCGCCGGCCCTCGGGAGGCCTCTTGGCCTTCGTTTGCACATCATGGGAGCCTCGTGCCCCCTCGCAATTCTGCCTTTGGCGTCGACCAGCGTCGATTCGCGTCTGGGAGTCGATGGGACAGCGCCGATTCAGCGTCGGTCAGCGTCGGTCAGCGTCGATTAGCGTCGATTTAGCGTCGACTGGCCTAGCGTCGATTCGCAAGAGCCGACAAGATTGCGGGAGGCTCCCATGAGTTACCGCCGAATCTGTCCCCCCCCCCCCGTCGACCCCCGTCCTCCTCCTCCTCCTCCTCGGTGCTCATCCCCGACCATCGATTTTCCTCCTTCTCCTACTCCTCGATCCTCCTCCTTCTCCTTCTCCTCCTCCTCCTCCTTCTTCTCCTCCCCTTCCTTCTCCTCTTCCTCTAGCATCGATTATGTTCCTCATATTCTAGCTCGCTCCTTCTCCTCCTCCTCCTCCTCCTCCTCCTCCTCCCTCCTCTCCTCCTCCTCCTCCTTCCCTCCTCCTCCTCCTCCTCCTCCTCCTCCTCCTCCTCCTCCTCCTCCTCCTCCCCCTTCTCCTCCTCCCCCTCCTCGATGATCCTGTGTGGATCCTCGATCCTCGCTCCCCCACCCAGGAGCTGTACGAGGTGCTGTACCCGCAGCCCGCGCGCCAGGAGGCGGGGGCGCCCCCGGCCGCCTCGCCTCTGCCCCTGCCTGGCGGAAGGGGGGCTTCTGGGGCTCCGCACTCGGCAGCCTCCCACGGGATTCCTTGTGAGGAAGACGCCTCCTCCTCCTCCTCCTCCTCCTCCTCCTCCTC